GGGGGGGGGGGGTTAGGCTCTGTTCGGACAGTATTATACTGAAGGACAAAACAGTTCCGGGCCGTTGGATGATGAAAATCCAACGGCTGAGATCAATCTTCAGGTAAAACGGGGTCGTTTGGGAGTTATACGGGGTGGACCTGGTTGGGTAGGACTTGGGCTTGGATCTGGAGACGGGTTTGGGCTGATTCGAGCCAAATTCTGGGCTCTTTTTGGGGGTCCAATTTTGAAAAAAAAATAAACCCCTTTTCTTTTAATTTCAAAATCTTTTCTTTCTTTCTTTTTTTTTCTTTTTTTTTTTAAATTAAAAATCCTAATAATTAAATAAAAATTCTAGATTACCTAGAATATGAAAAATTAAACTAATTAATTAATTACAAAATTATAAAAGCTACTTAATCCTAAATTAAAAGAGAAAAATTAATAAAAAGGATAAAAATGTAGAAATTGGCCACTTTTGTGATTTTCATTTTTAATAAAGCAAGTAATTAATTAATAAAAATAAATTCTAAATGCAATGCATGATATTTTGGTATTTTTTCATAATTTAAATAAAACTTAAACATGCACAAAAAAATATAAATAATTAAATAAAAATCCTAAAATAACAAATAATTAAAAGAAGAAACCTAATTATTGGAATTCTGTAGGAGTAACCTATGTGAGACAAAAATTACGTGCTCACAACGGGTCATTTGGGCTTGGGCCAAATTTGACCGCCCTAGAGAAAATGTTAGAAGGTCTATCACTAAAGATAGTGGGTTCTGAGATTCGTGGAGAAGGAGGTAACTTATGTAGGTAAAAGTGTAAAAGTTTGATAGCAGAACTCTAAAGTATAAAAATTTTGAAGAGGTAAAGATCTTATTTTCTGACAACAAAGGAAATAGTGCAGTGATACTTCACATTCATTGGCTTAAAATATTCGATCCACCTCTGGTTTCAATCTTGTTTTTCCATTTTGCAAATATCCTAACATACTATAATATCTAGCTTTTGTTAAACTAAAGTTTTAAAATATCATTAATGTGTGTAGTATTTCAATCTTATAACAGGGTTTCTTTTGCTGTTGCGGAGATTTTGCTACTAATAGGGCTAAGTGTAGAGTCTGGACATCTAAAAAATTGGGAAATAGCAAAGGAAAGTTGTTTAGTAGTTGGACAAGGATTATTCTCAGCTGCTGGAGTTTTTGGTCTACTCACAGTTTTCTTGGCGGCTGGTTTATACATGATAGCACTACGAGCACAAAGACTATTGCTTGATCAAGAAAGTATAGGTCGTCAAGTCCTAGAAACCTCTATGCTTTTTGCATCTCCACCAACATCTCCTCCAACAATCATTAGACCTGTTCCTAATGAAAATCCTATTTCAACAACAGCTCAGAGTAATGAACATACTACTTCATTAGCACACTACCTTTCTGACTTTGATAAGTATTTATACTTGGTTTGAAGAAACACAAGACTTCTGAATTTCTCCATCCTAAAAATGCATTTCAAGTTCGTCCAAGAGCTGAGGAGAAAAATCTTATATGTTTTTACTGTTTTCCTACAAGATTGATTTGTATATAAGTCTGTTTTACCAACCCCCTTTTTTGTTTATAGACATGACTGTTTCTAAATGTAAGTACTACACCTTCTGAAATCAAAAAGAATTTTCTGTTTTTTTTTTTTTTTTTTGTTGGTGCAAAGGATAACATTCTATTAAAACAAAGTAGTAGTAGTACAAGTAGGTGTAGTCAGCCTATCATTGTCCTAAGGGGTGACCTCGTGATGGGTCGTAATAAGAAGGGGTGTCCGTGGAAAAACTACTTCTAGTAGGGCCTATATTAGTAGTGTTACATAGAGGGCGTACAAGAGGTATTTGTAAACGGTTTGAAGGTGGAAGAGTTGGTAGAGCCACTCTTCTTGCGATCATCTTCTAGTGGTATGAGAATGGAGTTTGGAATATTGAGTAATAGCCCGTTTGGTCAAGCTGCAAAAATTAGCTTATTTTGAGAAGTGTTTTTTTTCAAAAGTGCTTTTCTCAAAAGTACTTTTGGTGAGAAGCAGTTTGTGTTTGGCTAATTAGTTTGAAAAGCACTTCTGAGCAGCAATTAGTGTTTGGCCAAACTTTAAAAAACTGCTTCTAAGTGTATTTTTCTCAAAAGTGCTTCTCAGAAAAGTGCTTTTGGAGAGAAGCTACTTTTTTCTGCTTCTCCAAAACTGCTTCTGCTTCTCCTCAAAAGTACTTTTTTTCCTTCCAAAAGCTTGGCCAAACACCTCAATTTTTTTGCCAAAAGTGCTTTTGGCAAAAAAAAAAACACTTTTGGCCAAAAAGAAGCTTGGCCAAACAGGCTATAAGTTGGGAACGTCATTGTGTAATATGGGTTGTTTCAGCTACTGAATAGGGGGTCCTCATGACTGTGTAGTTTAGCGATTTCTTGGTCATGTGAAAGTCAGACCATAAGTGTTTAACTATTGGGCATTGAAGGAGTAGATGCTGAATAGATTCCGAGCTGATCTGGCATTAAGCGCAAAGGTCAGTTGGGAGAAGGCCTATATGGTGATAATGTACCGCAGTGGGAGAAGGCCTATATTGTAAAATGTGGTCTACGTTGGTTACAAGTTATTTTGAAGGTTTAATAAATATTAAACTAAATTTGCTAAATTCCTATTGGCTACTTGGGGAAGTTAATTTTGATTAAACTTCTCACTCCCACTATGATGGAAAGTGGGATTATGCGTTAAAACTACCGGTCCATCGTTGTTGCTCTGAAAGAAAGCAGAAAGAAAAGAGAGAGAAAGATTTTTCTTAGTCACAATTAAAGGTCACACAATTTCGCTGCGAATCATCAATGGAATCGGGTATGTTTCCTGATTTATGCATTTTATGTGAAAATCACATAGTTCCACAATTCTAAATAATTGATAGGATTTTACATAGATTGCTTATGAACCACAATCTAGAACATGAAAAATCCTTACATGTGGTATCAAGAGCACAGGTTTAGGAACTAACGATTTTCCGTTAAAATTAACGTTTCCTCAATTTTGTGAACAATAATTATATATTTAAGGAATTTCACAATTACTGTTAATAGTAATAACGAAGCAGATGTAAATTAATTTTATATGCTGATGACTAATAGCATATTTAATTATCATCTGATTTCATGATCTTGTTGGCGCTGTGAATTCAGCAAGTAAACTGTAAAAGGATGAAATACTCTCCGTATTGTCATGTAAATGAATTCTTTAAAAGGACAATTAAACTGACACTTGTATGTGAATTCTTTGTTATATGGGCTTGATTTGCTTCAGAATGCTTTTAAAGTTGAGTCCATGTGAAGTATATTATCAAATATATAAATTCAGTGATCCATATGTCTGCTTTTAACTTATTGTTATGAAATTGATTTACTAATTTTAAAAGGTACGCATACTGTTTCTATTGTTTCCTATGAATATCTTAATTATGGGATTTACTTATTTTGTCCAATGGTGATTACAAGTACTTATAGCATCATTTTTAATATGATTGATAACCGTAAGATTAAACATCATTGGAACTTCTTTTACTGGAAATACTTGTTGGCACAGTAGTGCAAATTATGACAGCCCTTCTAGTTAGACAGAGTCTAGTTAAATCCAAACTTACCATTATATTTGCAAGAATACTGTTTTCACAATTTCACTGGAATTATAAACGCGAGGTTCATTAATCACCAAAGTGATCGAATCATTATGAATATTTAATTCCAAAGTACTGGTTAAGCCTATCTCAATATATTACCCATAAATTGTGATGCTTATCAATGACATAATAAATATTGGGTAAACTAAAGTTCTCGATTATAAGACATTTATAGATCGCCTAAAGGTTGATCGTTTGTTCTTATAATTATTAAACATTAAATCGATAATTTAAATGTATCGTTAGTTGTATTTATCTATCCAAAGATATTAAATATTACTAATTTGTACATTAAAATTATCGAATTATGTAAAATTTCTTTTAAGCATCATTATGATAAAAGCTGTATTTTGTGTTTCACCCAAAGGTGGACATCAATATACATTTAAGGGTAAATAAAAATTATTTCTTAATCTAATAGTATGTTTAAATTTTATAACTCAAAGCATTAACGAATGAGCATATTCTATTTGTAGCACTTGCTCTTCACTCACACTCTGCTTCTGTTACAACCTTTAACGGACTTAGCTTCTCGGATTGGTGCGAAATCGGATCCCACGAGTGAATCAAAAGTTGGATCTACATTGGATCTCACCTGAATCGCCCCATCTATCCTCCTGAGGAGGAGTTTGGTTTCAAACCCCGGTTCGAACAGGAGGAGTACCACATGCTAATGTGCATTGGATGATCCGCATCTCAGGGTCAGGCACTGATGAGCACATTGAACTATCCATGTGGCTGAGAGCCCTCACAGCCCAGGCATAACGACGTAATTGTCAGGGGCACTCTCTACCACTGAGCTAATAGCCTACCAAATTCCATCTTGGAGTTTTTGATCTTGATGTTGCACTCTATACTAAGGAGCCAGCTGCTATTACTGAAACTTGCACTCCTGAAGAAAAGTCCTACTTTAAGCACTGGGATAGGTCCAACATACTAAGCCTAATGTTTATGCGAATGAATATTGCGGGCAATACTAAGACTACTCTTCCCAAAACTGAAAGCAGGAAAGAACTTCTAAAACTTATGGAAGAATGATCGCAAACTGCTGATAAGTCTCTTCCTGGGACATTAATGGGTATTTTAACCACCATGAAATTTGATGGATCGCGTATCATGCATGAGCATGTCATTGAAATGACAAATATAGCAGTATGACTTAAGACTTTGGGAATAGAAGTGGATGAAAATTTCCTTGTTCAATTCATCATTAACTCATTACCATATTAGTATGGTACTTTCCAAATGAACTACAACACCATGAAAGAAAAATGAAATGTGCATGAACTGCACGGAATACTGATTCAAGAGGAAACAAGGCTTAAGAATTAAGGCACCCACTCCATTAACCTTCTAGGCTATCAAGGAGCTAGAAAGAAAGGAAAGAAACATGGAAAGGTTAAACAGAGGCAACATAATGTCAATGAGTCCTCTTCTCAAGAACTTACGAAGGAACATAAGAATGATAAGTGTCATTTACGTGGAAAACCTGGACACTTTCAGAAAGATTGCCTGAAACATAAGGTATGGTTCGAGAAGAAAGGTAAGCCTTGCGCTTTTACGTTTCTCGAATCAAATTTAACTTAAGTTCCTTATAATACTTGGTGGATTGACTCTGGTTCTACTGTTTATGTTTCTAATACGATGTAGGCATTCCTTACAATCCAGACCAAAAATCGGAATAAATAATTGTGTACATGGGAAATAGAGTGAAGGCTCCAGTTGAAGCTATCGGGACTTATCGTTTAATCCTAGATACTGGGCGTCACTTAGACTTATTTGAAACTTTTTATGTACCTTCTCTTTCAAGAAATTTAATTTCTTGTCTAAGGCCTCATTTGTTTTTTTTATGATTAAGACGTCTGAATCTGAATACACATCTGAACATCAAGATGTGTATTAAGATTAAGACATCTGAATCTGAATACACATCTGAATATATTAGATGTGTATTAAGATCTGAATACTAAAAATTAAGACTGTTTGAATTTTAACATCTGAATGTATAAAATTTATTTTATTTGAAAATTAATAAACACAAAATTCAAATGAATACTAACTAATCTCATATTCTATCAATAAAATATATAATTTTTTAAAATATGATAGTTGTTGGTGGTGATGGCTAATGGGTGAACGCCGACTAGAGACGGTGGTTGGTAGTAGTTTTGGTTGATGATGGTAGTTCATGCTAGTAGCTAGTAGTGATTGGTAGTGGTGGCGATTATGACTGAGGATCGTGGTGGTGGGTGGTGATAGTGAATAATGGTGGGTGGTGGTAGTAATTGTGATTGAGGAAGGTGGTGGGTGGGTGGTGGTAGGTTATAATGATGGGCGATGGCAGTTGTGGTTGTTGACGGTGATGGGATGGTTAGTTGTGGTAGTTGAGGTGGATGAGTGTTGATTGTTGGTGAGAATGATGGTGGTCGGAGTGGTGGGATGGTGGGTGGTGATGGTCGATAATGGTAGTGGCTTTGATTGGGGATGATGGTGATGTGGTGGTGGTGGTGGTGCTGGTGGTTGAGTATGGTGGTGGTGGTGGCATGGTGGTAGTTGATAATGGTAGGTGGTGGCGGCAGTTAATAATGAATATGTGATATCATCTTAATGAAATTAAGTCTTTGTTATAGATCTCAATCATACAGACCTATTCAGACCCATTAAGTGGTTGTGAAGTAAAAAAAACAAACAGACTTAATGATTAAGATCTGAATAATTAAGATTCAGACTTTAAAAATAAACGCACTTCATATCTGAGATCTGAATGATTAAAATTCAGACCTCTATTAAGTGCAAACAAATGAGTCCTAAGTTGGATAAAGATGGATATTTTTTAAATTTTGGCAATAGATGTTTCAGTTTGTTTAAGCATAATCATCTTATTGGTTCTGGTATTACTTGTGATGGCTTATACAAATTGAATTTTGATAATCTATTTGCCGAAACTCTCTCAACTCTGCATCATAATGTTGGAACCAAACGTAGTTTG